ACAGAGTGACATGGGGCAACACGGGCCAACACGGGTCAACAAATATGGGTCAACACAGAGTGACACGGGCCAACATGGGTAAACGTGGGCCAACACGGGTCAAAAAACATGGGTCAACACAGATCCATGCTGGATCAACGTGGGCCAACACGGATTGACACGGGTCAACATAGATCAACACGGGTCTACATGGGTCAAAATGGAGCAACAGAGTGACATGGGGCAACACGGGCCAACACGGGTCAACAAATATGGGTCAACACAGAGTGACACGGGCCAACATGGGTAAACGTGGGCCAACACGGGTCAAAAAACATGGGTCAACACAGATCAATGCTGGATCAACATGGGCCAACACGGATTGACACAGGCCAACACAGATCAACACGGGTCTACATGGGTCAAAATGGAGCAACAGAGTGACATGGGGCAACACGGGGCAACACGGGGCAACACGGGTCAACGTGGGTCAACAAATGTGGGTCAGCATGGGTCAATACAGACTGATGTGGGTCAACATGGAGTGACATGGGCCAACAACGGGTCAACAGGGGCCAACACAGATCAATGCTGGATCAACATGGGCCAACACGGGTCAACATGGGCCAACATGGGTCAACATGGGTCAACACAGAGTGACACGGGCCAACATGGGTCAACATGGGCCAACACGGGGCAACAAACATGGGTCAACACAGAGTGACATGGGCCAACATGGGTCAACATGGGCCAACACAGAGTGACACGGGCCACCTCGGAGTGACACAGGTCGACACGTGCCAACACGGGCCAACACGGGCCGACACAGGTCGTCATCAGCCAACATCACCCCGCCGCAGAGGCCAGGCGCAAGCACTGGGTGGCAGAGGGCGGAGCTCTGACCCAGCCGTGATGTCATCACGGGGCAACGAATGACGTCAGAGGCAGAAGGGAGTCCATATGAGAAGTCACACCGCACCAGGGCCAGGAAGTGACATCACTGGCGGGCGAGAAGTGACATCACTCACAGAGCAGGATGATTACGCCGGACAGGTCAATCGCTGATGTCACCGAGGGTCCGGGAAATGACATCACCAACTTACCAGGACGTGTGACAGGCCCGGTCCGAGCGGTGATGTCATCGCTGGATGAGGACGTGACGTCACGGCCGGATGCAGGGGATGGATGACGTCACCCTCTGGGGGTGTTGTAGGGGCGGGGCCGTTTGGCCCTATGGGATCTATAGGGGATCCCTGAGCCCGTGGAGATCCCTATAGGGGTCTATAGAGGACACCAGCCCCACAGGGATCCCTGGGAGGGGGGGGGTCTATAGGTGATCCTAGCCCTATAGCGATCCCCCATGGGGATCTATAGGGGGATCCCGGCCCTAACAGGATTCCTATAAGGACCCCCAGATCATCCAGGCCCTATGTGATCTATAGGGAGTCCATCTATGGGGATCCTGGTGGAGATCTACGGGGGATCCTGGCCCCGTGGTGATCCCTATGGGCACTTATAGGTCCTCCAGACCCTGTAGGGGTCCCCGGGGGGAGTCTATAGGGGAGCCAGGCTCTACGGGGATCCCTGTGGGGATCTATGGGGGATCCAGGCCCTATGGGGGTCTGTAGGGAATCCAGACCCTGTATGGATCAACAGGGGGATCTATAGGTGATCGAGGCCCTACAGGGGTCTCCAGAGGGTCCAGGACCTGCGGGGATCCCTAAGGGGATCCCTGGGCCCTATAGAGATCCCTGTGGGGATCTATAAGTCATCCGGGATCTATCAGGGTCTAGAGGGAATTCCAGCCCTATGGGGGTCTATAGGGGAATCCAGACCCTATGGGGGATACTGCGGGGGATGTCTATAGGGCATGAAGGCCCCTACGTAGGTCTATAGGAGGGCCAGGCACTACAGGGATCCCTATGGGGCTCCATAGGAGATCCCAGACCTATGGGGAACCCCATGGGGATCTATAAGGCACCTAGCATCTATAGGGGTCTTAGGGGATCCTGGCACCTATGGGGACCCCTCTGGGGGTCTACAGAGGACTGTGACCCTATGGGGGTCCTTCTGGGGGTCTATAGAGGATCGTGGCCCTATGGGAGTCTATAGGGCACTGCAGCCTTAGGGGGTACCTATGGGGGTCTCAGCCCTACTGAGAGCTATGGAGCTCTATAGGGGATCCCAGCCCTATGTGGGTCCCGATGGGGGTCTATAGCGGACTGAAGCCCAGTGGGGGTTCTGATGGGGGTCTATAGGGATCCCTGCCCTACTGGGGTCCCTGTGGGGGTCTACAGGCATACAAACACTACTGGGGTCCTTATGGAGGTCTATAGGGGCTCCCAGCACTATGGGGGTCCCTATAGTGGTCTGTAGGGTATCACAGCACTATGGGGGTCCCTATGGGGTCTATAGGGTATCATAGCGCTATGGGGGTTTCTAGGGTATCATAGCACTATGGGGGTCCCTATGGGGGTCCCTATAGGGGTCCCTATGGGGGTCTATAGCGTATCATAGCACTATGGGGGTCCCTATGGGG